TCGATATATCTCCAAAATTATTCCAGATCAAAAAATGTTTTTAAAATTTCATGGCAAAAACATCTCTATTAAATATAATAAATATTCGTATTAATAAAATTTTAAAAGGATATTTTTTTAAAGAACTTTTTCAAAAATCTCTGAAAAAAATTATTTTATCAATATAATTAAACAGAAATATTCTTATCATAAAACTTGTAAAGTACTTTTTGATTTCTCGAATAATTTTGGAGACGTATCGAAAAAAACAAAAAGCCACTCTGCATATGAGAGATGATCACTCTTTAGAATTTTTTGACCGCAACTGAAAATTTCTTAATTCATCTATTTATCCCGCTTATACATGTGTGTAAAGTTTCATCAAAATCAGAATTGCTCAATTCGCGAGGCTCCTTCATAAGACAAAGGAATCCGTAAAAATGGCGGGTGAAAAGAGAGGGTGCTTTGTACTTTCCCGTTGAATCCAAACAAAACGCGGGCGGGTTTCAGCCAGTCAATACAAACTTCATTAGCACGCGTTCGCGCCCACAAATTGCACGAAAACGCGCATACGCAATCCATTCCCCATATCGCGGTATTAGTCTCGAAATTATTCAAATATTAAATATCCGTTGTTTGAGCGCATGCGAGAAACGACGCTCGGAGTTTATTTGAATTTAATCATAGGACAAAGTACCCGTATTAATCGGGATATACCGCTCTCCGCATAGCGATGAGATGTGGCGGGAGATCGGGGCGGTGGGGAAAGGGGTGGGGAGGGGGAGGGAAAATTTAATATCCGGACGAGTAACATCCGCGTGTGCGGCAACGGATAACAGGGTGGTCGAATTGTCCGGGCAAATTTGCGTGTTCGTTGCCGCGGAAACACGCGGAAAATGTGCGACGCCAGCACAGGCGTGCCGGAAGTCGCGATTTTGACAGCTCGGTTTGGTTCGCGTGCGTCGCTTTGTTTCGACGCGAAAAAAAAAAAAAATTCCGCTCGGACGCGTAAGCGTCTCCTTTTCTTCCTCTCCCGCTGTCGTGTTCGCGGTGGACAGGTATGTACCTCTTGCGGCGAGCGACGCGCGATTTGACAGATGCCATCGAACGCACGTCAAATTCGGTCGATCGGAATGACGTGTTGCTATATCGAATGCGAGCTATATCGAAATATGTTATTACGGCTCATCCGATCGCGTGCGTTTAAATATTTTCACAGTAAATATGTATAGGGTTCTTTACGCTTGTACGAATCGTTTTTACGTCACGAATAGCGGTTATTTATTTCGCTATTCGTCGGATTATTCGAGATATACTGATGCGATGGGATGCTTAAAATATATCTGTTGTATTTCTGCAAAAGTATTTTTTTTTAAACTACGAAATGATCGTATTTTTTTTTAATTCGTTTCGCATAAAAGTGCATCTCTAATTCTGCTCGTTGAAGGTAATATTTTTATTAACCTCGCATTTTTATGATAATTCTCTGTCACTACTGATTTTATTATCAAGATTGAATCTATATTTGTTTTTTCGATATAAAAGCGTATAAATTTTTAAAAGAGACGGCAAATTTTATCAAAAATTGCTTCAAATTTGTAGGATTCTTTACGCTTGTGTTAGTCATTTTGACATCACATATAACGGTTATTTATTTCGCTATTCGTCGGATAATTCTCTGTCACTACTGATTTTATTATTAATATTGTACCTAGTTTGATTCCACGATATAAATGCGTAAATGAATTTTGAAAGGAGACAGCAAATTTTATCAATAATTGCTAAACACAATTTTCGATATTTATTTATATCTCTGATTTTTTAAGGCTCACAGTGAAGAAACAAACATCCTCATATTTTACGAGCAAGGATAAAAACGTATCCGGTGAGGCCTGGATATAAGAGGCATTGGCTTCTCGAAACATGGAAGCTGGCGAAAAAAGAGTTCGGTCGCCGGGCAAGATGGGGCTCTCTCTCTTTCTCTCTGTCGCGGCCATTAACGCCTTTCTTCGCACTCTCGTATATTCGCGAGAGCCCCCGTTTTTACACGCGAGTCCTTCTTTTTTTTTCATCTCCATTGACGTCAATCTCGCTCTTCTCATAAACGTCGTCGCACATGTGCGTGCGAGCGCTTCGCGAACTCGCGTCGCCCGTCCGCTTTAAAGAGTCGATCAAAATTCCACGCTGACCCACTTTGTAACTGACCGACGATGATGCCGTCCGATAATCGCTCCCGAACGCGATCCGCGATCCGATGTGCGCGATCGCCGCCCGATCGCAGGAAGCTATTATCGCTTTCGCGCGTCGGCCTGTCATTCAAATTGCACGCGAAGCAAACCGTGTGAATAAGGGATCCGCATGTTTGCACGGGATGCACACGAAGCGGGAAGCGATCCGGGAAGAATCCAGGTCTAGCCTTCTTCGCTGTCAACTCTTGAAAAGGCATCTTGAAATAGGCAGGAGACGTGTATCTCTTCCAATTTTTTTTTTGCCTCTGTAAAGAAATGATAGTAATAACGCGTGTGATTGATCGTTCCTTTTTTTTTTCAAAGAGCAAACGTTAAAACTTTTCCATTGAAACAGGTGCTAAATCAGCAATAGTCACCGTCCAAATATTAAAATGGATGACTCAACAAATCATGATTCGTAAAATTTTATTTCGTGACACGTCGACAGTTCATTCAATAGGTACCGTATCGATAACCGATAAAATACTTTAAAACTCTCTCTCTCTCTTTCTCTCTTCCGATTAAATTTGATAGTCGCTATCGAGAATTTATCATCGAGAAATAATAGCATCGATGCTGAATATGAATTTACATGCGTCCGGTTTGTCGATGCCTATATCGACTGCGCATGAGTAAATTTAATTGAAATTCAGATTTGCACGATGCTCGCGCGAGAAACAGAGGAAACGTTAAGTAATAATTTCAATCCGTTTACCACCTACACGGGAAGAATTAGCGCGCTTAATGTGCAGTTGACAGAATGACGAATCGCGTCAGCCAATCCCTCTTCTCGCCTACATACGCAATATAGTTTGCTTTTATACGATGCTTCGTATGCAGCGATGTATAAAAGCAGTAAATCAACAAACACGATGTAATAAATTATTAATTAATTAATAAGTAATTATGTTTAATTATTTGCGTTATAATTAAATTACATATTAACGCTAATAAAGCAATCATATCGAAATTTATGAAACAATTTTTAATCGCAAAATTATAGTCTAAATATGGAATTAATAACTCATCTATTCATCTGATTATCTGACTTTAATTCATGATCCATATTAATTGTATACATTTTAGAGAGAAATGTCATAAATCAAATATTGCAGAGTTTATTTAAATAATCATATCTACAGGTTTGTTTTAATTGCGTGAATCTATTTTATTACAACATAATTTTATTCTTTACTCTCAAACTATCCTTTACAAATTTCATCATTATTCTCAAACTATCCTTCACAAATTTCATCATTATTTTTTTTTAAATCATTTTTATTCGATATTTTCGAAATTGCCTCTGCGTTTCTTCGAATTTTCGGACTCAAAATCCGCCTCTTCCTGTGTGATAAATGCAAATGGTATCGCTTCGCAAGCATATCGACTTCATCGAGTCGGAAAATAAATTCCTACGCTACTGGGTGGGTCGATAGTTTGGGTGCTCCCGGAACAGGAACGGGGTCGCGTAGTTAGTCGAATTTTGGGAAAACCGAGGCCCGACCGCCGAATTTACCCCGTTGCAGACCGTACCGGTGTCAAGGACTTTTGTCGATACAACATCTGGCTAAAGTGTCAGCAAGAGGTGGCCTCGTGTAAACGAACAGGAGCAGTTTCCTGCGACGCAGCTGCGAGTGTCGACGAGCGAAGAGCGATTTCATTGCACCCTCGATCGCCACGCTCGATTACGCAGTTCGAAAATGCTCTATTTGCGAAAAGAGCCTCGCAATTTTTGGGGACGCTTCGCTGAATACTGATATGCGCTCGCCATCGAAAATATTTTACTTTTTTTCCCCGAGAGTTTATCGAAAAGAGCATTCAAATGAAAAATAACATTTGATTTAATTCCGTTGCTTATTTTGTATAAAGTCCATTTCCATGGTCATGAATTTTAACAGTGCTTGAATTTTAACAAAATACACAAATAGTTTTACACGATTTTTTATAAGATTTTTTTTATACGCGAATATTTCGTATCTGTGATGAATTCGTAACAATTTTATTTCCGACGAAAAAAAAAAAATATTTTCACTCGCGATAGTCAATAATTCGTTTATCAATAATGAAGAATGTTTTTAAAACGTTTCATCGGATAATTAGTAGGATTGTCGTTTGACAAATTTTAACGCGACTCTCCAGCAATGGATTTTAAATATTGCATACGACATACTTTTTTGCAAGAGCTCTTTTAATGTTGCTCTTACTTTTCGTATAATGCATAAAAGATAGAAAACAGTGATGTCTGGTGTTCAAGAAAAAAGTATAAGAGCTTCGATCGCTACACCAACGTTCACCAACTATATTCTTTAATGTGGAAGCTTCGTAAAAAGCTTTGTAAAATCCCATATTACGATGTGGACTCCTCTTACGTTGCGCATCTTTTTTTCAACGTCGCTTGTCGCTTAACACTTGAATGGTTCGGAAAGAGCCACTTATAAGTTTGATACTGAAGTTAGTATAAAGTAAAAGCGCAAAATACTCTTAACACCGAGGGAACGAAAATACAAAATTGTTTTTATGTTAAGAAAAGGCTAATTTTAAAAAATATAGTATAAAATGATGATGAAAGATTTTTTTTTATTTGAATTCTTTATGTTTTTATTTTCAATACAGTTCTTGATAAATAGTTCTGGACAGAAAAGGAAATTGTTTCAGAGCAGATTAAGTTCACCACAGACATCAAGTTCACTCGGTGTTTTGCTTTGTCTTGCGAGACTGATTAAAGTTCGTATTTTATTATGTACTTTACAAGTCTAATATATACTTCAACATTGGTTTAATTAATTGTTATAGGTCCGTCCCCAGACTTTAGTAGACACGTCCTGATGAAACCGCGAGTGTATCACGGCAGGACAAAGAGGCAGATTTCATCGACCAAAGAGAACGTGAGTACGATTCAACATTTCGTTTTTGAATAAACTAGAAAAAGTTTAAAAATTCCATGAAATATTAGCTCGTATATCCTCGAGTTTCTAATGCGGCGTCTACAATAAGATTTTAAGAAGACTTAAAGCGTAAGACTTAAGAAACTGACCAATCACAATCAAATATTAAGAGAATATTCGATTGTGATTGGTCAATTTTTTAAGTCTTACGCCTTAAATCTCCTTAAAATCTCATTGTAGACGCCGCATAAGGCCGGGTCTACAATAAGTAATTTAAGCCTTAAGTCTTGAATTACCTATTGTAGATCGGGACTAAGACGTCACTTGAATTTTCTTCGATCGCATTATGAAAAAATACTATATTCAAGGCTTTTGCATAAATCGACTCTTCTCCATCTTTCTCTTTATCATATCGTATAATACTTGGCTCGTAAATGTGAATTGTAATAGCGGTTTCTGACAAAGATATTGTTCATGCTTCTTTTGTAAAAATTTTATGGACACAAAGAGTCTTTTTTGTCGATAATTTCTTTCTTTTTTGCAAAGATTAATTAATACATTAAAATAATACATTAAAATAAATTAAAATAAAATAAATTAAAATAAAAATAAAATAAATTAAAATAAAAGTAAAATAAATTAAACTAAAAATAAAATAAATTATTTTACAGAAATTTTTTAATCGATTTTATTCGCTAACGCATTTACTTGAAATAAAGCTTGCGATTTAATATATTTTATTTTCACTTTTATATAATTGTAAGAAATTATATTTTATAGTTGAAGATATATATTAATTATCAAATATATCGGATTGGAAGATATTTAACGCCCATGCTTCGTGACCTTCTCTTGGCATTGTTCGCTATCGCAGTGGTCGCCGAGTGCCATTTTTCTGCGAATTTTTGCACGACGTTCGCCATTTGCTCAGGCGGATTACAATGCGAAACGTGTATCGGCGCCGGGTGCAACAATTTCAATGCAAATGTTTCGGCGTGCAGCGAATACAAGCGAACAAATACTCGCCACGAGAATCGTGTTATTAGAAAGGACGGCGAAAGAAGGCAGAGAAAGAGAGAGAAAAAAAACTTCATTTGTTGGTTATTACCAGGCGCAAAATCAGGAGGAAAAGATAATTGTTGCCTTTTGGACATTGTATGTGTGACTGAGTTTTAGATAATGTTATTCGAAAGATAAAAATTTTGATTTTTTTCCTCGATGTCTGTCGAAGAGAACTCATTTCCAAAAAATAGTATATATGACATTTTTCCAGAGTAGAAAAAAATATATTCTTAGCTGTTATATTAGAAAAATATTTATTATATATTGGAAATAAAAAAAATTATCAACGATTAACACTTATCGTAAAGGCAATTTATTCAGAGAAAATTCTTAAAAATTGTCACATATGTCTTAAGTTTGATATACAGAAATATTTAAATTTTACATATAAATGATATTGAAAAAATATTGTTAATATGTTTATTAATATCGTGTTTTATTAAAATCATTTTAAATTCCAAATTTAAATAAATGAAAAATTGTCTAGATTTTTAGATTAATTTTCAGGACGCAATTGGTGGAAACGTAGTCGAAGTGAGTTCTACATGAATAAAAAACTACTAGTTCTACATGAATAGAAAATGAGATTACTTTTTTGAATCGCTTATGCAATAATTTTTCCGTTTCAACGATTGCTAAGCAGATATAAAATATCGAGGAAAATATAAAGTAATGTTTTATTTCTGTGAAAGCTATTCCGAATACAGCACAACATTCCTGGATTTTTTCCTATCTTTTTTCCGGACGTATCACATAATAAAAGAAAAGCACATTTATAGGAATAATAACAGAATTTATATATCAGATGTATATCTCGGTATCGTTTCTTTTGAATTCATTGTTTAGTGAGTTCTACAGTGGATCTGCACTTTACAAGAGTATATGCAACATACAATACACACGTATACACACAGTTATCAAAAGTTGTTGTGCATATTTCGTTTTTTTATTGTGCCAAAAGTTTCGCGATAAAAAAATAAAATATACGCGATAAAAAAATATTTTTCACTTACAATTTAAAATCGTTTTTGAATTCACAATACGATAATGAATTCATAATACGACGTTATACAATTTATCTTTTTATATTGAGAAGAGAGATCTCCCTCTATTAGAGAAAAAAAGGATCAGAGAGAAGAAATGTTCGAAAAATATGTTTTTTAAAATAATAATTTACATAATTGATTAGAATCTCTGCGATACATAAAGAAAATAAGAATTTAATAATAATTTTTGAAGAGAGAGAAATCTAATTTTGATTCTGACATTCTAATACAATTTGCTGAAACGTTAACACCAACTCTCCGACTTTACGACTTCATTTTCAACATTATCTTTAAATATCTCAATTTCGCACATCGCAATGTTTGCTCGCAGATTGCGCTTCTTTATTGTATTACCGAAATCACCAGATATCTAGGATTTTTTGTAACCGAATTGGACGTGCTTCGAAACATGCCAAACAATAAAGTAATTTTATCAAACGATATCGCCCTGTTTCGTGAACGGCATAACGATAAATGTAACGATAAAATGTGACGGTGGAGGAATATCGCGTATAGTAGCTTGCGTTTTTAGTACGGCTATATTCTTCCGAGACATTCCCGCGTCTTCGAATATCGTGAACAATTCGCTTTATTGGCCTCCATCCAGCGTAATCGTCGACCGCGAGTCGCGAACGCATAATGCACGTCGCGAATGTAGGCTGCGTAATCGCGACAATATACATAAAGCGTAGGAATTTTAGAGCAAAAGAATTAAATCGAGCAGAGAAACAGAGAAATGTTTTGAACGAAGAATAAAATAAAAATTATATTACACGAGCATCGTGCTTAAAAAGACTAGCGAAAAATTTAAATCTTTCTCGTTTTCGTTTGAAAAAAATATCTAAAAAATCACAGACCATTGCAGACTATTACTAGATATAAATTTAAAACGAAAGGCATGTTTTAGAAAAAATAATGTATATGACATTCGGACTAATTGAAATTTTTAGAGAATCTAGAGCGTGTAAACGCGTGGTGTCAAATTTTTCACTCTCTTGTAGTCGGTCTCTTTTTTTTAAATTCTCGAATTCCCGCACCAACGTTGCGAATCCCAGAATCGTGAAACAAACTTGGAAACACCGCAATCCCAAATACTGCAACAGTACAGAGGTACTCGTGTGTGCCTTCGTGTGTTAGTTTAGAGGGACGACACTAGTATCTTCGCTAAATATACAGTTCACACCGTTTGACATGGGAACCTGCAGAACATGTATAAGTTCACTAATAATACGGTTGCTCGAATTTGTGGATTCTAGCATGACAACAGACTGTGATTTAATCGTTATACAATGATACAGAGATGTGATTTACGTGCATGATTTCTTTTTGAATAGACAGCGAAATAGATTTCTTGATTGATGTTAAATTGCATTCATGAATTTTAATAAATAAATTTTAATAAATATATATATAAATAATATATAAATATATTAATATATAAATAGTATATAAATGTTACTAATATTTTAGATGAATTTTATCATTAAATAATGTTATTAAAGTAATCGAATTTTTTTCTGACATGATAACTAATAAGATATGAACAATTACTTAAAATATGCAAATATTATAAAGCACTATGGAATTTTTTAATTATACGTGTGAGTGTATTAGATTTCTTTCAAATATTAATTACTCGTGCACATCAATTGCTATCTCTCTGTTGCTAGTTTTCTCAAACTAGGATTGTGGGTCATGGCAATAGCCAATATCGAACAAGCTGCACAATTTAATCTTCGATTAAACGAGCAATTTACTCCATTTCTTGCTATCATACACGCTAACAGACAATATCAATTTGTTTGATAGAAACAGCTATGATTCTTTATTGCCCAATATCTTGAATAACACGTGTCCGATTGCTGTTCGCATTTCTGCATCTTTCATGTGCATATGTGTAATTGATTTCGAGATATAAGATTAGTGTATCTATAGCTTGAAAAGTAGAAAGATAAAATTTCATGATGCGAAGTGCAGCTCTATATGAATTTTATTTGTGATAAACTAATGTTTCAATGCAAAAGATATTTCGCTTTATTTATAGTAACGATAATTACCTTCTAATTGAAACTATAAAAATACAATGTTTAAAAAAATGATTGAACTTAATTTTAAGATAAAAAAATTGCTGATACATCTTAATTCAGAACTGTTTGTAATAATAATAATTTTCTCGATATTATGATACATACAAATAAAATTATAAAAAATATAATTATTTTCTGCATTGAAAAGTTAATTGATTAAAAAATGGAAGGGGGATGCCAAATTTATATAAATCTTCTGCACTTGAGTTCTTTTTAGCGAAACTGAACCATTATTTAAGAGTAGAGAACCGTGAAAATTCTATCAAGGTTAGAGAAATCTAACAACTAGAAAAATAGAAAAGGATAAGGAAGCCAGGGAAACTAAACATCTCTCGAGTTTCTCGTTACGGATAAAAATCAAAGAAGCAACTGTTTGGATAACAATGTTTATTCCTGTTTCAATATAATAAGATTTATCATTAAATCTTTTTGTGCGTTTCTACAGCAGTAGATATCTTTTATTATAGTAATAACAAAATTGAACGATAGTTTTTTTTACAAGCATAGTTATTTTTTATTTCGCTTAATTTATTTTGTTAAATATTTATTTTTATTCGCTCTTCTTGAAATGTCAGTTGTATTTATACGATGTTCATGATGTTTATAATTGTTTTGGTTAATTAATTCAGATATGATTCAGGAAGTTAATGATTCATCTTTCTTGAGATATCATCTTTTCTATTCTTGAGATACGTTCAATTCATTGTATTGAGATGCAATCGATATAAGTTATAATTGTAATCTATCGTAATTTAATGTAACATTATGTCAAAGGATATTTGCTAAATTAAACAGTTAAACGATA